TTACTACATAAATAGCATCTCCAACATAGTCGGCTGCACCATGTAGAACTGTACTGGCTGCTGATGGGCCGTGGGTGTTCCCAGTGGGGGCTGACCCGAAACCTTGAATCCTCTTCTGTAAAGACTGTGTGGCATTATCGATATCGTCCCCCTGAGATATGACAGCAACTAACCACAGAGAGTGAACCATCATAGACTGTATCACCTGATTGAACGTTATGTCCCAGACAGCGGTAGCAGTATCCCGAACTAAACGGTAGGGTTCGTCACCATATGTAGGACTAGGAGGCCCAGTGAATTGAGTAGCTTGCTCTATAACAGCAGCATAGGATCGCAATTGTATGCGGAAGGGAGGCACTCTATTCGCCAAGTGTTTCATGCATAACAATGCTTTCAGTTTTACATGAGCGTGATCACCAGCTACACACTCAGCCAAGTAGGCCGCCACATCAGGGACCCCTTGGGGATTCTCTCTGATGTTGGTAATGAGATCATTGAAGGCATAACCAGGAGTAGGCTTATTATCCGTATTAGTAGCATACCGGATGAGCTCCCAATCTATCATATTGTCTTAACAGCCGCAGATGATGCGACTCGTGGAAACCAACTGAAAAGAGTATGGTAAGGAGGACTATTCCTCCCATATTGAAGCTAAATGTACTACCACCTCGAGATATGCCCTAGTACAGTCAATTTCTCCCGATGGGGCAACTATGCCACCCCAAGATATGCCCTAGTACAGTCAATTTCTCCCGATGTGGCAACTATGCCACCCCAAGATATGCCCTAGTACAGTCAATTTCTCCCGATGGGGCAACTATGCCACCCCAAGATACGCCCTAGTACAGTCAATTTCTCCCGATGGGGCAACTATGCCACCCCAAGATATGGCCTAGTACAGTCAATTTCTCCCGATGGGGCAACTATGCCACCCCAAGATATGCTCAAGTACAGTCAATTTCTCCCGATGGGACAACTATGCCACCTCAAGATAAGCCCTAGTACAGTCAATTTCTCCCGATGGGGCAACTATGCCACCCCAAGATATGCCCTAGTACAGTCAATTCCTCCCGATGGGGCAACTATGCCACCCCAAGATATGCCCTAGTACAGTCAATTCCTCCCTATGGGGCAACTATGGCACCCATAGATATGCCCTAGTACAATCAATTTCCCTGGATGGGAGAAACTATGCCATCTCGAGATATGTCCAAGTTTAATCAATTGCTTCGAGGTACTCCTGTGGACAAATTGGCACAACCGAAATAACTCCGAGTAGAACAAATCGCGAGAACCAATTTGGCTCTTAG